ATTCAAAGAACACTTACATCTTACATTTATTATGTGTTTCCTCTGTAAACAACCTGTTTCCTGTTTCTGCAGGTTACACCTGTTTTCCAGAGTGCATTCCCTTCTTCCTTTAAGTCCTTGGAAGTGGTGTCATTCAGGTAATTTGTTAAGACATGTCCAGTTACATTTTTGGAAAAGTGGCCTAAATCGGATTTTTCAAAGACGTTTTTTTCTTACTTTGGCAGTGATGGATCAATCGTCAACATCATGGATGTTTACTTTTCGAGCACACCTGCTGATTCAGATGATTTTCTGATTGCAAGCATTTTAATGAGCGCAGCTGCAAGCATCACCGGCTTTGACATTGAGGGGAGCTCCATCTCCGTGAATGGCCTAAGTAAGTAATGCTTAGTGCTACTTTATCAACAGTGCAGTCAAAAGGTGCACAATTGTTTAACTAACGTTTTTTCTTCTCCTTATTTTCAGCTTCAAGTGGAGTAAGCCATAATATCAGTCTTATGACTGCATCCTGCCTAGCACTGTTGTCATGGCTACTGTCAAGCCAACAATGGCAGTAGTGCTGATTTCCATCACTGAAGAACTACTCTGGTGTCAGCTTTAGGATAACTTGTTTTCAAATGTAATTTAAAACCTCCATCAAATGATCTCACAATAAATGCAGTATTACTGTGAAATGAAATCTTGCTTCACTTAACACTTTCCTTTAGCATTCTTTTTCTTGGTAAGGTCATGAATGCATTTTTATCTAAGGAAGGATGCAGCTCCTTGTGTGCTGCATATCCCAACACTAAACTAATGCATACATTTGTATAATTAAATGATATGCATTTCAAAGCAGTTTACTCAATGTCCGTATTTATTAATAAGGAATTAAATTAAAAATATTTATTTATATAATCATGCATAGCTGTTTTCTGTTATATGTCCTGTTTTTTTCTGTCTGAAACTAACTTTACAATGACCAGAATACAAAGTCTTACAAAAAATAACTTGTCTCTCTTGTGATGATTTGAAGTGTTGGTGTGAAATGCATTAGGGCATTTTTAATCTAGGAGCTTTAATTTTAGCACTGGTGTTGTTTATAATCAGTCAACCCCCACCAAGTTTTTAACTATTGGTTTCTGCTTTTGTAGTTCGAACAGGGCAAAGGCATTTTCTGCTGCCAGTTCAACAGGTAAAAACGGACTGCTGGTGGCTCAATCAATGCATTACTATACATCACCTCTATACAGCATCATAATTAAACCATCAATTTTGAAAATCATATTATCTGAATTTGCTGTAATACTGTCTGAGCCTTTAGACAACTTTTAAGTTTACTATTACTTGCTTCAAAAGTTACTTGCTTAGGAAAGTGGAAATACCTGTGTGAATGAAAAAACAGAAATGTTGTCGAATCAAGACGACATTAAGCATTTTTAAAAAATGTCACTTAAAAAAAAAAAGAAGGAACTTCAAAATGTTTATTCTTGATGGCCAAACTGTCCCCAGAAAATGAAAAAACAAAGGGGAACATGAAAAGAAAGTGCAAGTTAAAAGACTTGGACAATTATAAGGCAGGAAACCTTGATAAGTGCTGCTGTCATTTGAAGTTAGGTTTCTCTGCCAACGGTTCTGCACAGTAGAACGGACTATTTTATCTCAGCTTAAGCAAAACAATACTTTTAAATCAAATCAATTAGGGTGATCATGGACATTATTACCTCTTGCTTACATTTTGTATTTCTCATTGATTTACTGAAATGATGGAGTTCAGTTAAACAAAGAGTGTGAAAACTATGTTGGACTCGCAAAGTAAACAAAAATAATAATGTTGGAAGAATCTCAATGTTGATTGGCGCTCACAAGACAGCATACCTGACCAACTACCTTGACTTTCATTGTAGCAGGATAAAGCAGGAAAAATCCACACCTTTGGCTCAGGATTGAGTCACAGCTTGGGATAAAAACTGTATATGTTTAATGGTGTAGAAGCTGCAATCAGGCAAAAAACAAATCCTCTTTCCATCGACGGAGGGGCGTTCTGTTTTCGGCTCAGAGAATGTTTTGGCAGGAGGGAAGAAGGAGAACATTGAAAGTCAGATCATGAGAGCTCACTTGCCTTTTGTTGTTGTAGATACAATAATGAAAAACATTATATCACACTGGTAATTACCTAGAGAAGGACACTACTTCTAAGAGCATATTAGATCAATAGAATAAATTAACAACCAAAGCAAACCATAATTCAACATTGGTTTGGAGTTGGACTGATGAAGCGGCAGACCTCTCACCTGCCACAAGGAGGAGACACACAACCATAAATAATAATAATATTAATACATTTATTTTTGGGGGGTGCCTTTCATAACACTCAAGGACACCTTACAGGGCATAAGGGCAATATAGCGAACAATTCAAACAGTGGATTTAGTGAAGTATCACCCGGGGTAAGACAAACAACAGGAAATTGACTACAAAAGGACACAAAAGGACACAGGGTACAGATTCTAAAGAAAATGCCAGTTTGAACAGGTGGGTTTTGAGTTGGGTTTTGAATGTTGTTATGGAATCAGACTGTCGGATGTGTAGTGGCAGGGAGTTCCAGAGTCTGGGAGCCGAGCAGCTGAAAGCTCGAGCACCCATGGTTTTGAGGCGATAGCTTGGGACGGTGAGAAGTCCTATGGACGAAGAGCGGAGGGTGCGGGAGGGGGTGTACTCCTGAAGGAGGTCGTTGATGTAGATGGGGGCAAGCTTCAGGAGGTTCCTGCTCATCCAGCTCCTGATGTCCTCAAGGCAGGTGGTGAGGGAGGTTGGAGGGAGGTCAGTGGTGGGTTTGGAGGAAATGTAGACCTGTGTGTCGTCGGGGTAGCAGTGTAAATTAACCTCATGGTGACAGAGGATTTTGCCCAGGGGGAGGAGATATATGATGAATAGGAGTGGACCCAGTACTGACCCCTGGGGGACACCCAGTGAAATAGCACTTTATTGTTTCTCTTCATAACCATGTCCTTTATTCAAATAGACAAGGTAAAATACTACAATGGAAAATACTCCATGACAACTAAATGGCTCGGCTAGATGTACATGAGGTTTAAAGTTCAAGTACTCTCAATGTAGGGACAGTTACTGTATATCATTATAATGCAGCATACACTGTGGGAGCTGTGGCTCAGAGGATAGTGTGCTGGACTTCGTATCAGGGGATAGCAAGTTTGAGTCCCACTGCAGTCAGCATGTCATTGTGTCCCTGGGCAAGACACTTCACCCCAAATTGCTCCTGTGGGGATTGTCCACAGTACTGAATGAAAGTAAGTCGCTTTGGATAAAAGTGTCTAACAAATGACATGTAATACACAAATAGGAAGCATTTCATTATTGTTATTGGTAAACTTTTTTATAATTCTGGAGCTCATTTTAGATATTTCCTTTGGTGATTATGTTTGCAAATGCTGACAATATATTGGTACTGTCTTTATCTGCAAAGTAGCTGCCAGATAAATGTGGTGGTGTGATAAATTATATATATAGCGGTAACAATTAAAACGCTCTAGTATTGCTCAAGAGCAAAAGGTGACACATATTGAGGCGTGCGCATATGTTTTTCACTGTGTGGGTCTCTGCTGTGTGAATCATAAGGTGCACCGGCAGGTTATGGAAGCTTTCAGGGGCACAAATCTAAAAAATGTAAAGCAGTGTAAATAAGCATCACCTGTTTTGTGACTGTGATTATTCCTGTTTGTATATTCATATTCAAATTTAGATCACTTTTTTGTCCATTAAATGTACATGAAATTGACATTTGTCTTAGGCACTGGTAAATAAAACAACACAGCACACCATACAAAGCAAAACAAACAAAAAATGTGCATTTTAAAGTGAAAAAGTGACAAAATGGCAGTCATAATAAAAATGCTAAGTGAAGTGTTCTTCCACTAGTTTGTAGTCCGTTCAAATATCATGACAGAGCAGGAAACATATCTCCACGTTGGCCTTGGAGCGCCTTGGAATCCCCCAGCCAGAGCTGGTTTATGTGGCCAGGGAAAAGGACATTTTGGGCCCTCTGCTGGAACTGCTTCCTCTATGAGCCGACCAAGGATAAGCGGTAGAAGATGGATGGATGGACAGAGCAGGATACTCATCAATATTAACAACAAATAATTAAATACAAATATAATATTATAAATATAATATATATGTCCTAAGAAGGATCCGTTAGGCTTGTATATTTGCCTGTCTTACCTGGTGTTTGTCTTCAATGTTTCCCCCGTTGGCGTTCTGCTTGTCTTTTTTTATCATCTTATCAACTGGTATTGTTCTTCCTTGAATGTTTCTTGTTACTGCTCCTGGATTCCTTGCTCTCCATGTTTTCTTGTGCCATCCCGTTTTGATTCTTGTTTGTGTTTATTGCTTAAGTTTTGTTTAACCTTAGTCTGCTCCCTTATTTTAATGTTGACCTGGGTTTTGTTTCAGCTTTACATTTATTAAAGCAATGCTCATCAAAGATGTACAGTATACAAAAATGATAATCACGCAAGTGAATGTAGGGCTAAAACCTCAATATAAACACACAATTTCCTAAAAACGTAACATATTATAATAATACATCCTAGTTTACTATGACATCAAAACTGCTTTTTTGTTATATGAATAATGCCAATTAATTAAGCCAATAATTACTTTTCTTGCATTGTAACTTATTTTTCTTTCTTTTTCATTATTATTTCCACCGTTATATTCTGTTATGGACCTATAGATTATACATTTATATGTGTTCTGTATTATAATATAATGCACAGAGCTGGCAACTGTACCTATATAATTGAGACATACAATTCCCAGAGGTGTTGCTGTGTCACCGTCGTCAGCATGCATGCAAGATGAGATGATAAGGTGCACACATGACTGACAGCTATGTGCTGTTGTTAGCTGTATTTCACATTGGAATGCTGAGATTATAAGTTTCTTATTCCGTGCCAGTTACAGGACATTGAAAATACTCACTACCTTGTAGATCTGTTTGAGGTTAGCACTGAGAAAAAATAATGTGACAGCTCTTGTTTGTCAGGTTTAAACATTTTGCCCATTGTCTGAAACTTTGCATGAATAATCATTGACGCTTGAGAAACGTAGGTAGTTTGCACCAAATCTATGGATGTGTGTGTGATTTTATTTTGTTTGCACCACATGCTGTTGGGCCTGAGGGATAATCATTTCGAATTGAAGGCAGTACTATGCTGAGATGCCTTTGATCCATATCCGTAATGTGCCAAATTAATAGAAGTAACACCAGAATACTTCGAACATGTGTATGACACTTTATTTCAGGGTAGTTTTGATATACAGTAGGTCTTGTACTTTTTCAATAAATAGCGGTTGGCAAGGAAAAAGTCATTTTTAAATTCAACCGCACCCTTATTTTCTCCTTTGAGCCTACTTCCTTGATGCATACAGGTGCAATGGGGATTGGAGAGCATTTGTTCTCACTGAAGATTCCTCTTTATAAATACAATGAACAATACAGTGCTGTTTTCACCTTGTGACTCTTTATACGTCATCATGGTGGAATGTGTTCTTTGAGAAACCTGCTGTACCATGAACTATCACTGAGGAGGTTTTAGTAAATACACATGTGTATGTATTTATTTTTATTTGTCTTTCTGTAACAATCGAAATAACTAAAACTTTTATCGAAAGCAACTTACATTAAACATCTACCTATTTGGCCGTGTATACTGGAACAATTTGGGGTTCAGTATCTTATCCAGCTCATGTTGAATGCCCTAAACACCATTGTTCCTCTACCTAGTAGGTAACCATTAACCCCCTAAGCCACAGCCTGCCACTTCATTTACCAACGCAACGGGAAAAATACTGCCAAATGAGGAGTGCGTCAGGGTTTCTTTATTCTAACCATGTATCTGATTAAAAAGGCTGCTCACAACTGTAAGCTATACCATCACAAAACG